CCCCACCCCACACCCCTGGCCCCAGTGCACATAGCTCAGACCTCCACGCTTGCTTTTCATAGGAAGCTCTGTCCTCAACCAGAGGGCTCAGCTGTAGCCAGGGATCCCTGTGCCCCAGAGGAGGGGCCCCAGGGTGGTATGTCAGCCCTGGTAACCTGTCCCCAGTGAATGAGCAGTGAATTGTTTTTACTTTCCACTTCAGTGGCTGCTCTGCCAGCCTTGGGGAAGAGCGCCTGAAGACAGCTGGCACCACAGCCTGCCCTCGTTATTGTCCCTGGCTTTTGGTTTGGACAATGAAGGCTTTACAACTGCTAGCCTGTGACCCACCTTTCCCCTTTTGTGGTCATGGAGCCGGTTATCACAGAAGAAGGTAGCTCTGTGGTTTTTCAGGTTACCAGTACAGCCCAACTCCTGCTGGCCAAAGGCAGGAGAAAAAGAAGGCTAATGAAATGGAATTTTCTTGAAGCTAAATTGAGTGCATTTGAAAGCCCTTTATTTCAAGGCTGTGTGCTGCCTGCTTTTTAGTCTTCCAATGCTCTTTCATAAAATAATGGCAAAAAAAGGATGGTCATTGTTGTCCTTACTTGGTAAAATGGAAAATATGTCAGTATTAAAAATAAAATACTATGAGAATGTCTGAGACATCTAAGGGCTTGGTAACCTCTGTTCTAACGTTTTATAAAATTATGGTTCTCATTTTCCTGGCATGATTAAAATCTAATATGTAAAGAAAGTGACATGAGAAGCAAAACAAAGGAGGACAGAACATGTGGGGCACAGCTGGGAGTCTCTCCACCCAGTCTGTTTCCATTAGAAGGAAGTTGGAGGTTCCAAGGGAGAGGGCAGGTGCTGGTGACACTGCCAAGCATTCATGGGAAGCCTGACTTCCCTGCTCCACAACCAGAGGCTACAGCTTTCAAATGCCAGCCAGGGCCAGCAGGAAGGTATAAAAAACAAGGCACCTTTAAAGAGGCCTTCCCTGGCACCTGTTAGAGAGCAAATGGCAAGACCTTGGCGAGGAAAGAAGCTGCAGTGCTGGTACCAGCTGCCTCCAAGAGGGGGTCTGGCTAGACACAGGCTGCACATGTTTTGCTGAGAGCGCCAACTGTTGGGATGTACATGGCAGGAGCAGCTGCGGATCCTGCCCCCTTCCAAACTGCTGTCCTACCCCCTCCTCCCAATGCCACCATCACATCTCTCTGGCTCAGCCACACACCTCCCTGCCCCAGTACTGATGGCTAGGAAGCCCTGGGATGACACTGTGCACAGAAGAGGTGACCACAGAGTCATCAGCTACCTCTATTACTTTCCTTCTCTGGGCTGACCTCATGGACTCCAGCTTACCTTTACTGTATCCTTCACACCTGCAGTCCTGGGATCCCACTGACAGTTCTTCCTGAGACCATTCTGGCACCCAGGCCTCCCTGACACTGCTGCCCTTCCTCTGAGGGCCCTCTGTGCCCAGGCAGGAGGCCCTTCCTCCCAGCTTCCTGACAGCCCCAGCCCAGAAGCAGTTCCTACCCAAACCTCTATAACCGCATTCTTATTTCTGTCCTTGCTTTCAGGGCACATCAGCCTGGGGCAAGAAAGGTGTTTCCAATCCTCTGGCTCTCCCTCACATGCACACCCCCTGGTGCTGTGGGACCCTCCTCACCAAACCAGGCTCACTTCTTCTATGGAAGAGGGGGTCTATGGAAATAGGAATCCTCTCAGCTAAGCTTTTTGGGCCAAATAGGTGCTCAGAATGATCACTGAGGCCTGGGGCCAGTGGTGTAGCCCCTCTGAGTGCTTGGGGCCAGCTGCAGTGGGCTACACTGGGTGTTCTCTACAGCTGCCTCCACCTGTGCCATGCACTGTGTCAGTCCTCTGTGCCATGTGCAGCTGGAGGTGGTTTCCTGTGAGACATTGTGTGCCTATGAACCTTCTGGGTCATGGAGCCCTTTGGAGTCTCTTGAAAGCTTAACACACTCTCCCCAGAAAAATTTATGTGTGCGTGTGTGTGTGCGTGTGTGCGCGCGCGCACGCACGCATGCATGTACGCACACTCGAATTTGCATACAACTGCAGGTGTGTGTGTGTGTGCGTGTGTGCGTGTGTGCGCGCGCGCACGCGCGCATGCATGTACGCACACTCCGAATTTGCATACAACTGCAGTGTTATCAGGAAGCTATTGTTCATGTAGCCCTGGCTCCCCAGATCCCAGGTTAAGAACTTCTGCTGAAATGTGTCACAGCAAAAGACAGGAGACAAGAGCATTGTGAAGAGAAGTCTGGGTGTGAGTTTTGTTGGAGTATCAACTTAGTATGTGACTTCAGCATGTTGTGTCATCACTCTCGCCTTGGTTTAGCCTGGATTGGACTGGCCGCTGGTCTAGAGTGTCTTCAGGGCTCTTTTGAGTTCTGCAGTTACGGGGCTGTATGACATCCTCTGCCCCACCTCTCAAGGTCAAGCAAAGCGAAGGGAGGGGATTCTAAATCTCTCCCTGAACAGTGCATCCTGGGAAAAGAGGTTAGACAATTAGAAGATGAGACTGAGCAAAGAGCAAGTTCCTCTTTAACAAGAGTGAAAAAAACTGCAGAAGCTTTGGGAAAAAACTGCAGCCACTTCCTATTTTATTTTAATGTACTTTAAAACAATTTCAAAGTATTTTCTTCAATGTATTCTGTGACAGGATAACCACTCAGTCTTTACAAGGATCTAGGTTTAAAGCTCTGCTGTGATTCTTTAGCTGTTTGACCTTAGGCAAGTCCCTTTCCCTCCTTGAACCTCAGGTTCCTCATTAGTTGAGTCACTAACAGCTGTAAAGGTGAATGATGAGCCATGTACGACATGTCTTACATGGGGCTCACACAAAATCAGAAACTCCAGTTATAGGTCGTAATAGGAGTCAGGGGCTCCGGAGAGACAGCAGGGCAATGGGATGCGAATGTGGAACTCAAAGAGGATGACAGTCCTCCCGCCAGGAGCAACTCTGAGCAAGTACATACGTCTGAATTGACTGTTAAAACTAGGCCCCAGGCACCCAGATGCCCGGTCTAGAGGGCTTTCTGGCAGACACCCTAGCCAGGGTCTCCTCTTTGAAACTGCATTTACAGGATCCAAAGTGTGACATGCCTGAGTTCTATGTTCATTGTTATGACTCACTGTCTAGCTGACTTTACCCAGGAGGACCCTGGACCTTCACTCTGTTCATGATCTCCAGGTTACCAACTGGAGTTTCGTGGTGGAAATACAACCCCCAACTAGCGACTTTTACACTGACGCTGTCATCTGTGGCCTCAATCTCACTTTCACTGTCAAGTACTGAACCACCAGCACTACACACAGAGAATTATGACAAGAACTAATGAAAATAGACTTAACAAACACTGAGAAAGTGCCAAAACACACCCCATTACCACTTATAGTCAGCAATTTTTTGACCTAATTTTAACATGTTCCATCTTCTTTCTCTTTTCTCCTCCTTCCTCTTTCCCCCAACCTTTTCCTTCCGCCCTCCCTCTCTCTAGCACCTCCCATCCTGGTGGCAGTAAGTAGCTCAGGAATTACACAGAGGAGCAGGAGGCAGGCAGATCTGCATGTACCTGTTAGTCTTACCAATTCACTTACAAGATTTTATTTTATTTTTAAATCATGGCTTCTGGCAACAAATCTTGATTGTGTTGTGGGCAGTTGAACTACAGGGTAGCCAGTGAAGGTCTCTTCTGCAAGTGCAAGAGCATGGCTTTGGCCTGCTTTGCTTCAAATTACAGACTTCCGTCCTTTATTGGCTGTGACCTTATTTAACCCGTTTGTTAAGTGGGGTTACTAAATCTCTCTTTACAGAGTTTTGAGACAGCACTGGCACTGGCCTGGCTCTCATCTTGGTGTGAGAGGAGGTCCTCCCTCCCACAGGGCTGTGTCAGGTTAATAAAAACACTGAGGTGTCTGAGTCTAAAGTGCAGGACTAAGAGTCAGGAGAAATCAGGGTGAGCTCTCAGTGGATGAAATGAATGAGGCTTAGCACAATAAACCCTGGATTCAAATCCTGACTCCACCATTGCCTCATCTGGGCAAACTGGACACTTCCATAATTCTTTAAGCCTTAATTTTCTCATCTGAAAATGGGGATAATGAAACTATTGGGACTATAAGAAGTAGAGGGCATACTGTGATAAAAAGCCCTTAGCACAGATCTGGGAACAAGGCAAATTCTCTAAAAACGGCGATTGTGAGGCAAATTCCTCCCTCTGCTATCACCTTGGCGTTGGTTTTCCATCTATGAAATCTGAGAGTTGTGCCAGAGGCGCTTCAAGCTCTCTTCCCAACTCCAAGATAAATGCTTCTAGGAAACTGAGAGACAATGTGGGCAAAGGTATAGCCTGTGGCTGTGTCACCTATCGTGCTCAGGTTTTAGCCCCTAAGGTGCCCGCACCTTGGAGGAAGTGCGTGGCGCAATGCTCACTCCCAACTCAGCATTGGGCCTGAGGCTCGGGATGCGCCATGCTGGCAGCGAGAGGGGATCTTGCGCTCTGCAGCCGAGAGAACCCTATGCCCAGGCTCAAGAGCCCGTGGCAGGAGCGGGCTCGGGGGCGTAGGTGTCCGAGCTCCCTGGACTCCCCGAACTCTCCTGCCCATCTATCACTCACCGTCCACTCATCGCACAGTCCAGAAGCCGCTGTTAGTGCTGTGCCTCGCCGGCACCCGCAGCTGCGTCTATAGCACCCACTGACCACCGCCTCTTGTGTCCTACGCGTCGAGACCTCCCCTCCCCGCCCCTCGCTCCTCTTCGGCCAATCACGACGCCCATCTTTTACTCTCCGTCCCGCATCTCCCCGCCTCTCTTCGAGCGCCGGCCAATGGTGCCACCTTGTTCGGGCCACATAGGGAAGGGTCGACTCCAGGTTGTGCCCAAGGACCTGCGGGGAATGTTCGGCGAGTCGGGCCTGTGATATGTCCTCCCACCACCACCACCACCACCACCAGAGTGCCCGGAGACTAGCGGAGCAAGCAGCCTCGACTTGGCTGGGAGGGTCTGGGAACCGTGGGGGGTTTTCCAACAAAGGCCATTGCGTGGGCGCCGCAATTACTAGAGTGCCCGTCGCGGGGGAGGAGTTTATCAGTACGACCTGTTAATTGTTAATTTTCACTCAAGGGGCACCCGTGTGCAGTCCCGTCGTTTGCTTGGCGTAGCCTCTCAGAGAGGACTCTATGATAAAAAAAGATAACTTCTCTTCTGGTCACCTCTTGCTCCCGGAGGATTTGCCTGTGCGGAGGCGAGGGCACGGAAGACCACACAGGCCTTTTGGGGAATTCTGAACCGTTCGGTGTTTCTGGAGTGTGGGCATAGCAGGGCAGGGGGGGAAAGTTAATGGAAACATTTGCAATTTGTTTTTATCTGGTGATTCCCAGTCCTGACCTCGGATGGACCTTTTCTCCCCTATCCCCAACATAAATCATTTTAGTTTTATTCTATCTGTGGTTCTTACCCTTTTAAAAGGTCACGTGTCTATTTTGGGTCTTCTAGAAAAATGCAGGTGCCGACATAAGCAAAAATCTGCTAAGTTAAGTCTGTTCATCTTTACCCCAAATCCGGCAGTCCTAACAACGATTAGCACAGCCCCTCTTAAGTGGGGTCCAGGGCCCACAGACTTAACTCAGAAGAAAGGAAGGAAGGAGAGTAAAGGAAAAGAAGGGAGAGAGGGGGAGAGTGCACGCGCGAGTGAGCAACTTGTTTAGAGCAGCGATGTGTGAATTACAGTCACGAGTGATGTATCACAATCACTTTTATTTTTCATCCTGCACTCACAACCCAATAGTGGGTCATGAAATTAAGTTAGTAGATGTTGTGACTAGTATTTTTTAAAAAAAGAAGAGAAAATATCAGTGTACAGCACACGTAGTAAATGTAAGTTGTATTTCATGAAACGTTTGTTTGCATTATTTATGTTTTGGTTGCGTGTATTAGGTTATGGTATAAAATGTATTTCTCACTGTGGACCACAGTAAAAAATATTTGAAAGCCACTGTCTAAGTCAGTCCCTTTCATGGCTTTCTCAGCTTCCTTTGAAGCTGGAAGTGGCCATATGGCCCAATTCTGGGCAAAGAGATAGGGGAAATGTGTTGGGGCGAGGGGTTGGGGAAAGGAGAAGACAACTTTTGCTTTCCTGGTAGGAGGAACAGATACCCCTCCCCCCTGTTTTTTGTCTCAAATGTGGATATAATGTGTCATGTTTGGAGCATTGACGGTCATTTTGAGATCATGATACAACATGTCCCCATGCTAAAGCTGGTGAAGCATAAAGATAAAAGGAGTCTGAGTCTTTATTAACATCATAGAGCTGCTGCACCATGTATGTCTGCTTGCCCTAGACTCTTTGCCATGGAGAAAATTAAACCCCTATTTGTTTAAGCTAGAGGTTGTTAAGTCTTTTCTGTAAAGGGCCAGATAGTAAATATTTTTGGTTTTGTGGGCTAAATGGTCTGTGTTGCAATTACTCAGCTCTGCTGTTGTAGTTTGAAAGCATCCATAGACAACATGTAAACCAAAGGGCATAGCTGTGGTTCCAATAAAACTATTTACAAAACAGGTGGCACGCCGCATGTAATCCATGGGCTGTAGTTTGCCAACTCTTTCTTTCAGTGATCTTGCTTCCTTTATTGCCTCTCTGACTGCATCTCCTCTTACTTCCTATCCTGCTCTGGTCACATGCTTCTCACGTAAGTCCACTCCCATCCCAGGGCCTTTGCACTTGCTGTTTCCTTCGCCTGGAAGGCTTGTCCCCCAAATGTCCACAGGATTTGCTCCTTCACCTCCTTCAGGTCTTTACTCACAAATTGCCTTCTCTCTGAGGTCTTTCCTGGTTGCCTAACTAAAATGCCCCTCCCTGGCCCACAGGTACTACTCTGTGGCATGCTGTATATTTCACTTCTTTACTATGAGCTCCTTGAGGGAGGGAGACTGTGTCTGTATCCTTAGATGTGGACTCTGCCTAGAATGTCATGATGTTTAATCAGTATTTGGTATATAATTGACTTTTTTTTTTCTTTCTGTCAGATTCAGGTAAGGAAACATACTCAAGGAGGCTCATTATCCTATCCAAGGGGACACAGCAAGTGAAGTGGTAGAATCTGTATTTATGCTCTATGGCCCTGGGAAGTCATGTTCATGCTATCAGAGAGCGAGGGGAGAACATCATCTACCTCCATCGGAAGATCAGGCCTCAGGGGAGCTGAGGCCACACAGAGGTTTCTACAAGACTCCTTGCTCTAGGGCATCACCCCAATAAAGAAGGCCTCTGGGAGTCCATTAAGGGAACCAGGCATTATCCTGTTCATCTTGGGCAGTCTCATTTTTTATAGCATTCTTGAATCAGAAAGTCTTTAGAAAAGCCATTATTTTGTGAATAGTCCAGACTGACTTGTAAGATCCATAAAAAGCCAAATGAAAACACTTATGATTCAACATTTTTAGTCAAGAAAGAACCATGCAGAGTGAATTTATATTTGATTTGCAAGTGGGGAAATTTAAAAGAGCCTAATAGTTTACAAAACACATGTGACGTCTTAAGCCAGGTAAGGCTGCCACTGGGCAGGGTGTTCTCAACTTTTGCTTGAGGCTTCTTGGCATCAGGGCCAAGAAAACTGAGAAATTACCTTCTTCCTTCTGGTGCTTCTAGAAGCCAGTCATGAAAATGTCTGGGTATAATCACATGTTGTTGAGGTGCAATTTAGATTTCTCTGAGTTTTGAAAAATAGATTTATATATGTTAATGTAAACAACATTAATAATGAGGATCATTTTAAGGCCATTTCCTTAAAACAATAAAGGGGAGTTGGAATTAAAATTACTAGTTAATTGCTTAAGGCCTTTTATTGATGGCTTCAATTTTTTTTTTTTCTTCGTTGTCTCTGACATAAGATTCAGAACAAGTGACTTTTTAAAGCAAGTTTTCAAAAAAGTCTGCATGATTCCAAATGTAATTCTTTAGAACACAATTGAATAATTGCCCTTGATTGAGATCCGTAAGATCCGGTTTAAACCAAGCAGCTTTTCTTTGCTTTTAATGGGCTCTGTTTTATAAAACCTACCAGCAGGAAGAGACCACTTACAGAATGCTTCTTGTACCATTTGCTTTGGTGGAATCCTTGCATAGCGAGGTCATTCCATTGTGTGATCTTAACATACAGAAGGATTTGCCATCAGTTTTCAGGTGATTTCTCAAATAATCTGCATACCTCCTTTCTATCCTCCTTTCCTATTTGAAACAGTTTCCATTAACTCCATTTGTTAGCATATCAATAATAACTTGAGGTTAACATACAGAACTCCTCGACCCACACCAGAGGAGAATTTGTTCTCCAGATGGACATAAATTTTAATGGCATATACCACACAGGTGCCTTCCCATTAAACACACACACACACACACACACACATACACTTTATATATTAGTTGCCCTTTATGGTTGTGATTTGGAAAAACTTTTGCATCCCACCCTGCAGAACTAATAAGTGCCTAGCCAGGTTTCCTAGGAGGGAAGAAGTTGCTTTCCTAGAGAAGTTGCTTTAAAAGGTAAAACTTGCAGCTGAAACTTCTTTTTGTGGAAAAATAACTACTTGGCTCAAGCTCTTTCTCCACTCGGTACTGAGTGAAGAGTATGACTGTCCTGAGGTCTGCTCCAAAAACCTAAGTGAAGATAAGGAGGGCATGAACATCTATAGGCAGCAGAAACAGGCCTGGCTTATCAATGAGTCTTTCTCGTCACCCTCTCTTCCTATCTTCTTGACACTGGACATATATAATTTGGGGTGGGGGGTGGTTCATCCAACACTACAAATCAGAAGGTTAGGGGAGGAATACCTCTCTACTTTCTTAGACCTTTCCTGTGTTCCCACCCATCCACACTTCATAGATCTTTCTACCTTCAACTTGGCTATACTCCCAGAAGATGCTGACAATGCGGGACTGCTAGAAAGCCGATTATTTTGGAGGGATGTTGTAATTGCTATGAGTTGATAATGTCTTAAAAATATGATGAAAATAATTATGATGATGCAATACTCCTGAACAAACTGGATTTTCAATATAATTTTAATAATAGAACAACATAGCAAGACTATTTGCTGGACACAGGGAGCTAGGCAGGAACAGTACAAGGACAGGAGGATCTACAGGACAGTGCTTTTCAAAGGAGAATGTCTTAACTAAGGATTTACCTCCACAAAGAGTCTGGTGTTGCTTGGGAGCCAGAATTTCTATGAATAGCAAGATACTGACATTCAAAGCTGAGAGCAATTAAGACCTTCCCTCAAGCCAGGATGTTAAATGGCTGAAGGAAGTGGAAAACTTCCAGTTGAAAAAGAAGAAAACTTGAGTGCACAGAGCGTTTGCACAAACAAGGGCCGTTTGTCCAGCTCCTGGGCTGTGTATTTCAAAACAGGTCAGCCTCAGGGCACTCTGGGGAGACTTGCCAGCTAGAGAATGTGGCTGCTGCTATGTCCTGGAGGGGAGAGCAGCACTCTCTACCTCTTCTTCCAAGCATGCAGCTTCCTAAGGAATGTAAGACATCCCTAATGGGGGAAGGGCAAGCCCGCCAGACTTGACCTGTTAACCCTGTGTTTAAAAAGATGTTACAGCTGAATTGACCTCACCTCCGAACCTATCATCAAAGACACCACTGTTCAGCCTCTGGCGTGACAGGGGCAGCCATCCCCAAGTTTCCTTCCAAC